CAACCCAAGGGGGGTGGGGGGCTGGGGCCGGGGCCGGGGGGGGGGGGTTCATTTTTGGCCACATCTTGAGAAAGGGGGAAGCTGTGTGTCTCGTTCAAGATTTGATCGCCTTTATCCAGAAATTTGGTGTCTGATCTGGCTCGTCGCGTCGGTGCTTCAGGACAATCGCAGCTCGCCTCTCCTGGACGGCCTCTGCCTCTTGTTGGTGGGCGCCTGCATGGCATACAATGATGACACGACCCCTCAACTGGAAAAGAGCACCTTCAAAACCATCATTCAGCAACGCATCGGCGTACGTTTGTGCCCGGTTGGATCTGGGTCCGCTTTGACACTCAAGGTCTTTTGTCTCACATCTTTATGTGGATTGTGGATATAGACGGACGACTTTTTGAGCCGCCTGGAGCAGTTTCTGCGCAGTGATGCGTTGACAATGGCGGCCAAAGATGCTGCGCCCGTTAGGGGTGCAACCAACTCTTGGTTCTCGCAGGAGGTAGCACAAGCCTTGGAAAGCATGGCCTCGGATGTCAAGGTTAGACATGTGGTGTTCGCATCGATGGCACGCCACACATTACAATATGGAGACACGTTGGTAGTCTAACGACCCGAATGCGCGCAATGCTTGGCTCGTGTAGGTGATGGTGCAAGGCGGTAAAGTTCAACGATCGGCCGCGGCAAGCGTCGAGCCCCGATCCGATGCCTCGGTCGAGTATCACGACAGCGTGGTTCAACAGTACAAGGACGTTATCCGCGAGCAGGTATTGTTTAAAATGCGCAGCATCGCAGCTTTGAGCTTGATGGCCTTTCCCTCCATCTGGCGGCGGGCCCGTATCAGATATTTATGATGAATTATGTCATGACAAACGCATAGGACGAGGAGCTGCAGCAGCTGCGAGCCGAGGTCAAGCAACACCAAGCTGCAGCAGCTGCTGCGACCGCTGGCAATGGAGACAATGTGGACCTTCCAAGCGTGCCTGACTCGGCGAGCGCTGAGGCACATGCTGCGGAAAGTGCAGCTCTTCGCGACGAGCTGGCACAAGCTCGGGTAAATCGGCAAACGTGTTGTCGCAAGTCGCCCAAGCAGAACACCCCACAGGCCATCTCACGTGACCGTCGGGTTTTTCTGTTTTTTGTTTCTTGTTTTTTTTTGGTTTTTGGTGTTTTCTGTGGACAGGCGGAAGTTGCAGCTCTCAAGCTTGATCGCGACCGTTGGGTGGCGGGTGCCCAGGAAGCTGCGCAAACCGCTAGTACGTTTTCAGCGCTAGCCCAAATGCGTCGCGAGCTCCCACTCATGTCCGTCCCGTGTGCCCACAGATACGGCCCGCGAGACAGAATTGCGCAGTGAAGTCGAGACGTTGAAGAGCCAATTGGCCGCTGCTCAAGCACAGGCAGCCACGGCAAACTCAGCTCCCACCCCACCCCCAGCTGCAACTGCAGCTGCGGGAGATGGCGAAACTCAACAAGAGTTGCAAGCTGCCCGAGCCGAAATCATCCACCTCACTGAAGCGGTTGGTGAACTGCCGGGGCGTTTCAGCCAGAAGGTCGTGTCATCACATATGGACACACGCTCACACTCTGCCTATATGACCCGTCAATGGCTCTTAGCTTGAAAAGGCACAACAGCAAACTCGTGAGGCACAGGCCGAACAAAAGTTGGCCAAGCAAAAGTTTGAGGAACTGACCAACACCCACGATGACCTGCTGATCTTGCTGGGCCAGATGGTGAGGCTGAATCCTGTTTCAAACTCGCAATGTTTGTCCTCGCGGTCTATACTCATGCTCGTGAACCTTTCAGGATAACAAAGTGAACGCCTACAAGGTCAAGCTGCGAGGTCTGGGAGGAGATGTATCCTCTGATGAGGAGGAGACAGATGACGAGTCTGACGCCAGCTTCGACAATTAGCCGCCATCTTCCAGACATTGCGACATGTTATTGTCGTTGCCGTGACATAAGAATTTAAACTCTCCGCTTTGGATTGATGATCAGATCAAGTGACCTTGCTCCGCTTTGCAGATCAAGTGGCCTTGCTCAAGTTCATACCCTTGAGCAAGCTCGCCACATTTTGCCCCTTTTTTGACGACTGGCTCGATGAGTTTCTTCTACTCTCATGCTACTGCTCCCTCCCACTGCACTGTCGATTCCTCGGCGAATCCGCGATGTGATCAAAATGAGACTCGGCTTCCTGTTCGCACGTGCAAAATGAGTGGTTGTCGTTGAAGAAAACGAAGAAAAAGGAGTGTGTCACAATAGAAGTAGAGGGTTTGACTGCAAAAGCAGCGAGCTGATGACGTAACGAGGCAACAACAACAACAACTGTCTCGACCATTTTCGTGTGGCACTGGCAACGGCTGCATCGGAGGGCAGCGGCCAGTCTATGCATGTCTGAGCGGTGGGGTGAAGGGGGCAGGCGTTGGCCGTCCTTGTAGAGTGACAAGAGTGGGTGTGAGATCGTAAGGGCTGCGATATTATAGCCCTTCACGCGTGCCAAGAAGGTCGAGGCGCTGCGCTGGTGACAGTGGCCTCGACTCGCCAGGCAGGTGTGCGTGAGGAGACGGCGAGAATTGCTATTTGGCAGCCAGCCAAATGGCGTCAACGGCCGATGATCAGGGGCGCCTGTCACCCGCCGATCCCGCGTGGGTGCATGTCCATCTCCTGGCGCAAAAATTTGCAATCTCGTCAGTGGCTGCTGCCATTGCTGAGAGTGGTTCGTGCACGATAGCTCCCATTGCAGGCACTGTCACTTCCGGACACTCGCACCACGCCGGCTCATCGAGCCCGCGCGGGATGCAGTAACCTTTCCTTTAGACTTTACAAAGACTCGCATGCAAACGGCGCTCATGCTACCCGATGCTACGGCCCTCCCTGTACGAAGATTGTCGAGCAATGTCTGCCCTGCCCGTTTGTGCCTGTGTGCTCATCGATGCACCAATCACGCTGGCCCCGTTGCGCCTCCACAGCGGCTTGGCATGATCGGCACGGCTTACAGTACGATCCAGGCCGAGGGACCGTTTGCTTTGTGGCAAGGCCTGGCGCCTGCTGTGACCCGGCACGTGATCTATTCCGGTCGGTCCGACTTGGCCGGCAACTCGCCCATCACTGCGGCAGTCGCCACCGCCTGGCTGATGCTCGGCTTCTTTGCGCTAGGTTTCCGCGTCTCCTTCTACGAACAAATCCGGGACCGTCTTTTTTCCAAAGACGCCGAGGGGCATCACGTTCCCTGGCAAAAGGCAACCTCAGGCTTGGCTGCAGGTACAGCGATCATGACCGCTGGTGGTCAAGGATACACGAGCAGTAAAGTTCGAAGGGGAATGTGGTGTTGCTCAAGCCTTGTGGATGCCTATCTTCGTCTAGGTGCCCTGGCGCAGCTCATTGCAAGCCCGGCAGACTTGATCAAGGTTTGAGGCATCATGAAACACCCTTACCCTTGGGTTGGGTCACGTGCCATGGCAGGCCCATTGATGCTTGTTCTCGTTTGTGGGGTGGGTCGTTTCCTTCGGTTGGCCCGTACACACGGCAGGTGCGCATGCAAACACAAGGGCGCGATGTGGCTCTGGGCCGGCCAAAACGATACCAAGTAGGTACTTTCAGGTGCATGCTTGCCGCTGTGCAATAAGCTGACTGTTCTTTGCGCCGGGATTCCTGACGCTTGCTCCATGGTCAGAGCATGCGACACGCCTTTGCGACCATTGTCAAGCAAGAGGGCTGGACGGGGCTTTACAAAGGTTGCATCCCCAACATGCAGGTTGGTTCGTGCATATATACACGTGATTGCTACCTGCGCGAGCAGACTCGGTTTTCTCTCGGAGCCTCTTCCGCCTGCTATGGAGCGGGCCAAATGCGCATGGCATTGTTTATAAAGCCTCTTGGACCTCGCTGATGTGCCCCGTTCTATCGGCAGCGTGCTGCCCTGGTCGGATTGGGAGACATTGCCACTTACGATATGGCCAAGCACTTTTTTGTCAGGGATCTACAGGTGTGTGTCCTACTCGATGAGCAAGGCCAAGGGACGTGGCGCGAGCGAGTGCCACGCCTTATCTTTTTGTCACATGCGCCACACCTCGTCGACAGATGCCGGATAATTGGTTTTCGCACATGTGTGCCAGCGGATGCTCTGGCCTAGCGGCCGCTCTTCTCGGTACGTGCCTTTGCTGCCGAGAGCGCAAGGCTGAAAAGACCGCATGAGATGATTCAGAACATTGGGAGAGATGAGTCAGTTGCCGCATGCAATGCTACCCATCACCCTGTCTAAATCAGCTTGTTTGCTGTTTGCTTTGACAGGCACGCCAGCGGATGTCGTCAAGACACGCATGATGAACCAACCTGTGGTCGATGGCCGGTAAGCTCTTCTGCTTCCGGCAGCCTTTGGTAGCTTGCGCGAGCTGCTGGGTGGTACGCACATTTGCGATTGCCCACGCTGACACTCACTGCCTTCCGTGTGCGGACCACAGCGGGGTGCTTTACAAAAATTCGATCGATTGTCTGGTCAAAACAGTAAGCTCATGGCGGTCTTGCCGAAGCCCATGCTTGCACCCGTCCAGTGAAGTGCCCTTTTTATTTGGAACTGCTGCTCACCTGTGTTGCCCATTATTCTACGCAATGCGAGCGCAGGTCAAAGCCGAGAGTGTGTTTGCCTTGTGGCGTGGCGTGCTGCCCATCTGGCTGCGCATGGCCCCGTGGGCCTTGACGTTTTGGACTGTGTATGAACAGATTCGCAACCGCGCTGGCTTGGCTTCTTTTTGAGTTGGTATTGGATACGAGCCCTGTGTCTCTCTCCGAACCACGTGGACTGTCTGTTCTTTGAACCTTGACTTTCATTTGTTTTGACCGTTGATCCCTGCAACACACTCCTCCCGCTGCACGGCCATGCCATGACAACGCATGTCAACACCTGCCTTTTTTTCGTCTCGTGCACACAAAAGCCTCTCACCCTTTCATATTATCCTTGAGGTTCTTTCAATGCATGTCATTGTTTCAACGGTGGGCGTGTCGCAGAGTGCGGACCAGCTTTGCCCGCCATAACCTATCCTGAAATCACCGAAAAATTTGAATTGATTTGTTTAGAAGTAGACACACGCGGCCGACCCATCACCACCGATGGTCAGGAAGGGCCCACGTTGTCCGATCATCACAGGTCAACATGCCAGGCCTGCTGAATGCGCTCAGCGCTTACAAACTCAGTCAGGGACGCCAAGCTGGGACGATAGAAAGAGTCGAGTAAGGCGTGAAGCTTCACATCCAAAGCTTCATACGCAGGCTTGTCCGCCTTACTCTTGAGGCCCTGGAGGGCCGTAAAGCCACGGTCATTGATGCGCGTCAGGGGCCGATAGTCAAAATTCGGCAGACCCAACCACGACTGAAGTTTATCCATCTGGCCCGGAAAGTCCTGAAAGAGCTCCTCAGTAAGCACAACATAGATCTGGCTACGAGGATAGTATCGTGCAAAATTTTTCAGTTGGTGTGCGTAAAAGCCTCGTCCAAGGAGGCTAAGGCGCTGAGGATCGTGCAACTTTAGACCATCCTGAACAGTCCCATTGCCCCAGCCACGCAGGTAGGCGGCAAAATCGACGTTATTACATGGGAATGCGATAGGTTCAAAATCCTCCGGCGACAAGTCGCCGAGATGCCGAGCGAGCAATTCATTGTTCAACGCTGTTGTCCAGTTGACAACTTCGATCACGCGGCCGACTACGCGGGGATGTGTGCCTCGCCAGATTTCTTTGTTGCGGCAGCGGTGCTGAAACTGAGAATAGGCGCGGGTCCTAAGAGAATGGGGGGGGGGGGGAGAGGCCGCATAAGCGACGGCCACATCCCACATGCAAAAAACGGCTTTTGCAAACACGGCACGGCGGACAAGAAACACGCAGCCAGCTGTGGGTACTGCGTAGCACATACGCGGGATTTCGTAGAACAGCGATGAGGCGAGCAGACGGTAACAAGCGGTGCATGCGCTCGATCTGCTGCTCGCTCATGACCATGTAGCTGAGGCAGACATTCGGGAGATGGTCAGGAAAAGAGGTCAATGTGTTTGCAGAAGTCCACGGAAAGCATGGTGACTCTAAAAAATGGGTCAGAAAGAACGCGCGGGGCTGGTGCGTGAAGGCTAGCCTACCGAGGCGTTTTTTCAAAGGTATATTTAAGAGGTATGCTGTCATGGGGCATTTGGAAGCCATTCATCAAGTAGTCTTGCCACGTAGCCTCGAGGTGTGCATCCGATTCTTGACATCATCCCAAGTAGTAAGGGGTGAGCAAAGCCATGACACGGGGACACACTTGAGAACCACGAATATGGAGGCCATTCAAACCCGATTTACGTGATTGGAGCGGCATTTGGAGAAAGCACCTTACCAAGTTGATCAAAGAAGTGCGGTTCACCCGTGCCACGGTCAGAGGGGCCACCCCAGCGCCAGAGGGCTGGATGTTTTGACAGCCAGCCTTGCAGCTCGGCTGTGCCTGACGTGCCATGTGAATGAGGGTGAGCTGGGTTGTTGCACACGACCGAGCGGGTCGAGCCGGATGCCTTGTGGCCAGCGCCTACCTGACTTCATGGCCCCGATGATGAGGGCAGAGGGCAGACAAGCCGTGACTCGAGCTCGCCGTGCACAAGCACCGGCATCCAACAACCAGGGATTGGTTGAGTTTTTGAGATCCAGTAGTGGGCGCATGCTGAGGCGGACGGAGGATTCATTTCCCAGCGTCGGCAGCAAGGGTCTCACGTCGGTGGCACTGGACAGCAGTAGTGGTGGGGCATGCCATTGGTATGGCAGCACCTTCTCCTCCTGTGATCGAGTTGTGGTATCCTCGACCCGCGCTGAGCCACGGTGATGCTGAACCCGCAGTGCGGTGCTTAGCCCGAGCCAGAGCAGCAGCAGCGCCAACTGGGCCCTCAAACCAAGTTTAGTCTGCTGTTCCATTCCAGTGCTCGCACCTCAGCGAGAGGAAAAATACAGCCTTCCTACTCAGGCAATGGGCCTTTGCCCGGACATGGCTTGATGCTTTGAGTTGAAACCGCACCTGGACACCCGCCAGCCCAGAGGGGCGCCAGCTCGTACGGACATGTTGCCCGGCGATCCCCATCGTGGCCCTGTAGAGGTGAATTGCATGTGTGTGCTGGGCAAGACGTGTCCAATTTTAGATGACCGACCGACTGCATGCATGTATGCAAAATTTAGGCAAGCAAGGACAGTCGCTGGCACGATGGAACTGATTCGCTGGTCAGAGGTGTTGGCCAATGCAACTCGAGGTGAATGGAGCACTTGATTGCCACCCAGCATTGACGAACACGGGTCAGGCAAGACATCAATTGCTTTCGATCAAATCATTCAAAGTTGAGCAGAGGGCTGGAGGCGGTTTTGTGGGAGAAGGAGGACCACAGACAGAGAGAGAGAGCGGGGGG